CCAACACTCAATTGCAGGAAATACAGAGAATACCACAAAGATATTCCGCAAGAAGAGCAACCCCAAGGTACATAATCGTCAGATTCAACAAGGTTGAAATAAAGGAGAAAATACTAAGGGCAGCCAGAGAGAAAGGTCGGGTCACCCACAAAGCGAAGCCCATCAGATTCACAGCAGATCTCTCGGCAGAAACACTACAAGCCAGAAGAGAGTGGGGGCCGATACTCAACATTCTTAAAGAAAAGAACTTTCAACCCAGAATTTCATATCCAGCCAAACTGAGCTTCAGAAGTGAAGGAAAAATAAAATCCTTTGCGAACAAGCAAGTACTCAGAGATTTTGTCACCACCAGGCCTGCTTTACAAGAGCTCCTGAAAGAGGCACTACACATAGAAAGGAACAACCAGTACCCAAGCCAGAAGAGAGTGGGGGCCGATACTCAACATTCTTAAAGAAAAGAACTTTCAACCCAGAATTTCATATCCAGCCAAACTGAGCTTCAGAAGTGAAGGAAAAATAAAATCCTTTGCGAACAAGCAAGTACTCAGAGATTTTGTCACCACCAGGCCTGCTTTACAAGAGCTCCTGAAAGAGGCACTACACATAGAAAGGAACAACCAGTACCAGCCATTCCAAAATCACACTGAATGCTAAAGAGCATCAACATAATGAAGAATCTACAACAACTAACAGGCAAAACAGCCACTTAGCATCAAAATGGCAGTATCAAATTCACACATAACAATATTAACCCTAAATGTAAATGGACTAAATGCACCAATCAAAAGACACAGACTGGCAAATTGGATAAAAATCCAAAACCCATCAGTGTGCTGTATCCAGGAAACCCATCTCACATGCAAGGATACACAAAGGCTCAAAATAAAGGGATGGAGGAAGATTTACCAAGCAAATAGAGAGCAAAAAAAAGCAGGAGTTGCAATTCTCATCTCTGATAAAATAGACTTTAAAGCAACAAAGATCAAAAGAGACAAAGAAGGCCATTACATAATAGTAAAAGGATCAATACAACAAGAAGAGCTAACAATCCTGAACATATATGGACCCAATGCAGGAGCACCCAGATACATAAGGCAAGTTCTTAATAACTTACAAAGAGACTTAGACTCCCACACAATAATAGTGGGAGATTTTAATACTCCACTGTCATTATTAGACAGATCAACCAGACAGAAATTCAACAAGGATATCCAGGGCTTGAACTCAGACCTGGATCAAGCAAACCTGATAGACATTTACAGAACTCTCCACCCCAAATCCACAGAATATACATTCTTCTCAGCACCACATCACACCTACTCTAAAATTGACCACATAATTGGAAGTAAAGCACTGCTCAACAAATGCAAAACAACTGAAATCATAACAAACAGCCTCTCAGACCATAGTGCAATCAGGTTAGAACTCAGAATACAGAAACCAACCCAGAACCGCACAGCTTCATGGAAACTGAACAACTGGCTCTTGAATGTTGACTGGGTAAACAATGAAATGAAGACAGAAATAAAGAAGTTCTTCAAAACCAATGAGAACGAAGACACAACATGCCAGAACTTCTGGGACACATTTAAAGCAGTCTCTAGAGGAAAGTATATAGCAATAAGTGCCCATATGAGGAGAATGGAGAGATCCAAAATTGACACCCTATCATCAAAATTGAAAGAGCTAGAGGAGCAAGATCAAAAAAACTCAAAACCCAGCAGAAGACAAGAAATAACGAAGATCAGAGCTGAACTGAAGGAGATTGAGACACGAAAAACCCTTCAAAAAAATCAATAAATCCAAGAGCTGGTTTTTTGAAAAGATCAACAAAATAGACAGACCACTAGCCAGACTGATTAAAAATAAAAGAGAGAACAACCAAATAGATGCAATAAAAAATGATAAAGGGGAAATCACCACAGATTCCACAGAAATGCAAACCATCATCAGAGAATATTACAAACAACTCTATGCACATAAACCAGTAAACCTGGAAGAAATGGATAAATTCCTGGACTCCTGTGTCCTCCCAAGCCTAAACCAGGAGGAAGCTGAAACTATGAATAGACCAATAACAAGGGCAGAAGTCGAGACAGCAATTAAGAGCCTACCACTCAAAAAAAACCCAGGTCCAGATGGGTTCACAGCCGAATTCTACCAGACACACAAAGAGGAGCTGGTACCATTCCTTCTAAAACTATTTCAAACAATCCAAAAAGAGGGAAGCCTTCCCAAATCATTTTACGAGACCAATATCATTCTGATACCAAAACCCGGCGGAGACCCAACAAGAAAAGAAAACTTCAGGCCAATATCCATGATGAACATAGATGCAAAAATCTTCAATAAAATATTGGCAAGCCGATTGCAACAGCAAATCAAAAAACTTATCCATCATGATCAAGTAGGATTCATCCTGGGGATGCAAGGCTGGTTCAACATACGCAAGTCTATCAATGTAATTCACCACATAAACAGAACCAATAACAAAAACCACATGATTATCTCAATCGACGCAGAGAAGGCATTTGACAAAATTCAACAGCCCTTTATGCTAAAAACCCTCAATAAACTCGGTATCGGTGGAACGTATCTCAAAGTAATAAAAGCTATTTATGACAAACCAACAGCCAATATCATACTTAATGGGCAAAAACTGGAAGCATTCCCTTTGAAATCTGGCACTAGACAAGGATGCCCTCTTTCACCACTCCTATTCAATATAGTACTGGAAGTTCTAGCCAGAGCAATCAGGCAAGAAAAAGAAATAAAGGGTATTCAAATAGGAAAGGTGGAAGCCAAATTGTCTCTATTTGCAGACGACATGATAGTATACCTAGAAGACCCCATCGCCTCAGCCCAAAAACTCCTGAAACTGATAAGCAACTTCAGCAAAGTCTCAGGATATAAAATCAATGTGCAAAAATCACAAGCATTCGTCTACACCAATAACAGACTTAAAGAAAGCCAAATCAAGAATGAACTGCCATTCACAATTGCTACAAAAAGAATAAAATACCTTGGAATACAACTCACAAGGAACGTAAGGGACCTCTTCAAGGAGAACTACAAAGCACTCCTCAACGAAATCAGAGAGGACACAAACAGATGGAGAAACATTCCATGTTCATGGTTAGGAAGAATTAATATTGTGAAAATGGCTATACTGCCCAAAGTAATTTACAGAATCAACACTATCCCCATCAAGCTACCATTGACTTTCTTCACAGAACTGGAAAAAACCACCATGAACTTCATATGGAACCAAAAGAGAGCTCGCATAGCCAAGTCAATTCTAAGCAAAAAGAACACAGCAGGGGGCATCACACTACCGGATTTCAAACTATACTACAAGGCTACAGTAATCAAAACAGCATGGTACTGGTACCAAAACAGAGATATAGACCAATGGAACAAAACAGAGGCACCGGAGGCAACACAACATACATACAACTATACAATCTTTGATAAACCTGACAAAAACAAGCAATGGGGAAAGGATTCCCTGTTTAACAAATGGTGTTGGGAAAACTGGCTAGCCATGTGCAGAAAGCAGAAACTGGACCCCTTCCTGACACCTCACACTAAAATTAACTCCAGATGGATTAAAGACTTAAACATAAGACCTGGCACCATAAAAACCCTAGAAGGAAATCTAGGCAAAACTATCCAGGACATAGGAGTAGGCAAGGACTTCATGAACAAAACACCAAAAGCATTGGCAACAAAAGCCAAAATAGACAAATGGGACCTAATGAAACTCCACAGCTTCTGCACGGCAAAAGAAACAGTCACTAGAGTGGATCGGCAACCAACAGAATGGGAAAAAATTTTTTCAGTCTACCCATCTGACAAAGGGCTGATATCCAGAATTTACAAAGAACTCAAACAGATTTACAGGAAAAAAACAAACAAGCCCATTCAAAAGTGGGCAAAGGATATGAACAGACACTTTACAAAAGAAGACATATATGAGGCCAACAGTCATGAAAAAATGCTCATCATCACTGGTCATCAGAGAGATGCAAATCAAAACCACATTGAGATACCATCTCACGCCAGTTAGAATGGCGATCATTAAAAAATCTGGAGACAACAGATGCTGGAGAGGATGTGGAGAAAAAGGAACACTTTTACACTGTTGGTGGGAGTGTAAATTAGTTCAACCATTGTGGAAGACAGTGTGGCGATTCCTCAAGGCCTTAGAAATAGAAATTCCATTTGACCCAGCAATCCCATTACTGGGTATATATCCAAAAGACTATAAATCGTTCTACTATAAGGACACATGTACACGAATGTTCATTGCAGCACTGTTTACAATAGCAAAGACCTGGAATCAACCCAAATGCCCATTGATAATAGACTGGATTGGAAAAATGTGGCACATATACACCATGGAATATTATGCAGCAATCAGAAATGATGAGTTTGTGTCGTTTGTAGGGACATGGATGAATCTGGAGAACATCATCCTCAGCAAACTGACACAAGAACAGAAAATGAAACACCGCATGTTGTCACTCATAGGCGGGTGATGAAAAATGAGAACACATGGACACAGAAAGGGGAGTACTAAACACTGGGGTCTATTGGGGGGAAAAGGGGAGGGCCAGTGGGAGGGGGAGGTGGGGAGGGATAGCCTGGGGAGAAATACCAAATGTGGGTGAAGGGGAAAAGGAAAGCAAAGCACACTGCCATGTGTGTACGTATGCAACTGTCTTGCATGCTCTGCTCATGTACCCCAAAACCTAAAATCCAATAAAAAATTTAAAAAAAAAAAAATTAAATAAATAAATAAATAAAATGCTAGAAAATGCAAACTAGTTTATCATAACAGAAGGTAAATCAGTGGTTGCCTGGGAATGAAGACTTGTGATAGGGAAGAGGCTAGGAAAGAAGAGATGACCAATGGCCATGAGGACACTTTTGGGGGTGACGGATATGTACATTATTTTGATTGTGGTAATGATTTCATGGTTAAATACCCATCAAAACTTATCAAATTGTACAATTCATATATATACACTGTATGTGGATGACGCTTCAGTAATTGCCTCAGCAATATATGCAATAATGACTTCGATCATATATCTCAATTTTAAAAAATCTACTTGAACGTTTTGGAGAGCCTAAAAAGGCACTGAAGAATGATACAGCCAAGTTTCAGGAGAAAGGAAATCCCAGAGAGGTGAACCTGACATTTGGGGTCATTTCTCCCTTTGGGATGCCCTTTAAATGTTTACCGTAAAAATAATAATTCCAAAAATGAATGGAGAAGGTGTCCAACTGAAAGGCTTCAGAAGAGAACAACAAAGCAAGCCCAAAGAAGTGTAAAGCATGAGAAAATAAAAGTAAGAGGCCCAGACACACTGGCCTGTAATCCCAGCGCTTTGGGAGGCTGAAACAGGAGAATCATTTGAGGCAAGGAGTTCAAGACAAGCCTGGGCAATGTAACCGTACTTCATTGCTACAAAGAAATGTTTTTAATTACCCAGGAGTGGTGGTACACACTCGTAGTCCCAGCTACTCAGGAGACCAAGGTGGCAGTATCACTTGAGCCCAAGAGTTCAAGCTTATAGGGAGCCATGATCGCACCACTGCATTCCAGTCTGCATGACAGATACCTTGTCTAAAAAAAAAAAAAAAAAAAAAAGAACAAAAATTAATGAATGAGAAAAAAATACAAAACTAGCACAACCAACAAAACCAAATACATTCTGGCAAAATTTATCAAGAAAAAAGAAGAAAAGTAAAAATAAATGTGCTAGGAATAAAAAAGGGGACATAACTACAGAGGAAATACATATATTGAAATCTTAAGAAATAAAAACTTTATGCCAATATATCTTACAATGACAATTTTAGAAAAACCTGACTTACAAGGAGAAATTTTTTAAAATAAATAAATAAACCAATAACCATGAAAGTGTTGGTGTTTAAAAATCCACCTCCTTGTATACACACACAGATGTGCACAGCATGCACACAGGCACCACAAACACCAGATCAAAAGTGTTTCACAGAAAAGTTTTAGCAAAAAATAAAAGAATAGAATCTCAATCTTATGTTCCAGAGTATTAAAAAAAGAAAAAAACAAATCCTGTCCATTTAATGAAGCTAATATTTCATTTACTGAAACTAATGTTAACTGTTATACCAAAACTAAATGAGAGTATGAAAAAGGAAGATTATACACCAATAACACTTGTGAACATAAATGTAAAAGTCATGACTAAATAAAATGTTTCTTAAAATCTGAGTATATAAAAAATTCTTCTTGTCTAAACTGCAATTATCTGAGAAATAGAAATACAGCATATTAGAAAAATTTATGTAACTTACTACATTAACAAAGCAAATAAAGTTATGTGTTTTGACAGCTGGAGAAAATACATTTTATATAACTCAAAACCCACTCACAAATTTTTTAGCTGTAGTAAAATAATAATAGAAAGAATATCCTTAATCTAAGAATGGAAACCAGCCAAATTCCTAAAGCAAACATTTTATTTAATGGTAAATGTTCTACACATTACCTTTAAAGTAGGAAAAATAAAGGATGTTCATTATCACTGAGCAGTGCGGAAAAACAAGAAAAAAAATTACGTAAGAGTTTCAATTAAATAATAGAATTATCATCATTAATAGATAATATGATTGCCAACACAGAAAATCCAGGAAAATTTACAAATTCTTAGAGTTCAACAAGTTATTGGAATACAAGATCAACAGGCAAAAATAAATTATTTTTTCATACACCTGAAACAAGTAGCAACAGTAAAGTTTAATATTATGTTTTTCACAAATAACATAGTATATAGTACTCAGGACTAAATCTATAATTTGTATGCAAATTTTTTGTGAAAAAAAAGCCATGAAACATTGCTGAAGGACACTATGGAAGCCCTGGATAAATGGAGATACATTGCTGTTCACAGATGAGAAGACTCAATATTGCTAAGAGATCAAGTCTCTCAAAATAAATCTGTAAAGTCAGTGTAAATCCACTCAAACTACTTTTGCAGCTTGACAAGCTGATTCTCAAATTCATATGGGAAAAAAAGGCAAAAAATAGCCAATGGCTGTCGAAGAAGAACATGTGTGGATGTTAAGCTACAGTGATTTAATATAGCATAATACTGGTACAGGGATAGCCAAATATGTCAATGAGAGATAACAGGTGCCCAGAAACTGAAGCATAATATACAAAACTTGATAGTTGTCAGACATTGCACCAAATATCATGGGGAAAGACTCAACTAGTCAGTAAATTATATTGGAATAAGTGGTTATTTATAAGGAAAAAAGTAAAATTAGAATTCTATTAAACAGCATAAATAGAAATAAATTTCAGATTAAACAATCAAAAGAGAAAACCAAAACATTAAGTCTTTTAGACTAAAAGATAGAAAAATACATTTATGACTTTAGGGTAAGGAAGAAAGTTTTGACCAAAACATAAATGAAAACCATAAGGAAAGGCCACATTTTAAAATTCTGTACCAAAAGACACTGTTAACAAAATGAAAATACTAGTCACCTGAAAGAAGATACTTGCCATAAAACTAATAAAAGATTAGTATTCAGAAAATATTTTAAAATATACAAAAAACATAAGATGAGGAAAAGTCCAATGTTTAAAGTGGATAATTCTCAGAGAAAAAAGTCTGAACGGTAAATTTAAAATGGCAATATATTCAGTTGTGCTTATAGTTAAGAGAATAAAAAAAATTAAGATACCATTTCACACTTATATAGATTGGCAAAAACCACTTTGGAGAGTAATTTTCCCATAAATATGCACATACCTTATGGCCAGGCAATTCCACTTCTAGAGAAAGTTTTGCCCATGTGTACAGAGACCTGCACAAGAATAAATTTGGGAGCATTGTTTGTGAGAGCCAAAAAATGGAAAATAACATAAACATGTAGAAAATCCATCAACAGAAGAAAAAAATGAATAATTTGTGGTTTATACATTTGAATAATGTTCAATAAATGTTCATACTATTAAATAATATTTATACAATTGAATGAAAAATTAGAGATACAAGTGTCAGCATGGATAACTTTAAAAATATATGTGTAGTGTAGGAATACGTTGAAAGAATAGAGAATTGTAACACTTATATAAAGCTTTACAGCCTGCAAAACAATATTATAAAAACTTAATGGACAAAAACATGTAAAGTAATAGGATAAAAACATGCATGGGGATGCTAAGTACCAAACCAGGAACACGAATAATTTCTGGGTAGAGAAATGAAATCAGAGTGGGGTTTACCATATTTGTTAGTTTTTATTTCTTAATGGAAGAAGATATTAAACAAACACAAGATATTGTGATTTTGTAAAGTTGTATGTACACAGGTAGTAGAGAGGAGGCAAAATTTAACCACTACTTGCAGGGTTTTCCTGCTGGGCCTGAGAATTAAATTAACATAAGACAGATCAACAAGAGAAAGCATTCAAATTTTTAATTTAATTTAAATTTAATTTAGTTTTGAGACAAGGTCTTGCTCTGTTGCCCGGGCTGGAGTGCAATGGCACGATCATAGCTTATTGCAGCCTCAGCCTCCCAACTTAGTGTGCCATCCCCCGCCCCCAGGCCACCCAGCAGCTGTGACTATAGGTATGTGCCACCATGCCAAGCTCAAATGTATTTAATATCATTTTTACATGGCACAGGAGCCTTCCTGAGGAATAAAGGCCCAAAGAAGCAGTTAGTTAGAGTTGAATGAACACTTAACATACTGAATTGGACAAAAAGTAGTAAATTATGAAACTGAGACAATGCAAAGAGGCTTGGGCAGGGTAGTTAACTGGGTAGAGAAGGCCATCCTTGTTGATAAGAATATTTTCCTTCTTATGTTGAGAGAACATCTTTCACATGGGAATGGTATCTGCTCCTTTAAAGAAACAGAAGGAAGGGCTGGGTGCGATGGCTCACACCTGTAATCTCAACAGTTTGGGAGCCCAAGGCAGGAATATCTCTTGAGGCCAGGAGTTTGAGACCAGCATGATCCACATAGCACAACCCCATCTCTACCAAAAATAAAACTAAAAAAATTCCAGCTACTTGGGAGGCTGAGGCAGGAGGGTAGCTTGGAATTTGAGGCTGCAGTGAGCTATGATTGCACTACTGCACTCCAGCCTGGGTGACAGAGCAGATCCCTTCTCTAAAGAAAAGTTGAGTGGGGAAGGTCAGAATGATCTCCTTATATCTGCTGCTTTTCATGTGGCTTTAACTCAAAATGGTTAATGTACCAGCACGACATATTTTGGGGTGGCATGTTCTTAATTCCTTCAGTAGTTACTATGACATTGCACTATATACTTTTGCATGTTTAATGTATTTCATAATATCAAAGAGAAAAATTTGAATAAACAGATACTGAATACCTGTCTGGAATGAAGTAGTGTTGCAGAAATAGACAATGACCCAAATGATTAAGTCATCAGTGAATGAGGATATATGAATGAATACACTTAACTAGGAAGAGCGGAGGGCAGCAACAAAGAGGGCTATCTGGCACCATCATCTAATGGCATGTGCTTCACAGAGTGTGGATGGAAAAAGGAGCAGGCAGCCTGGTATCAACATTACATTTAAACACCATTCTTTTCACTAATAGGAGAAGTTTCTGAAGTCCAGGAACTATCAAGTCTTTACATAGGCGTAAGTTAATCAACTTTGCTAGCTTGGGGCCCAAATAAAAAGATCTGTGTTGACATCAGTCTCTGCTAGTGGCCATGGGGCATGGCAATGCTACTAAAATTGTGGTTGATGTTGCAGCAGCCTGAGATTCCCAACCTGAGTCAGTGGTGAAGGAGCACATTGTGGCAATGCTGCGAGGAGAAAATTGGATTCCGTTCTGGATTTGTTCCAAGGGAGACACAAAAATCCTCTCAGAGGGAATGAACCTGAGCCAATCTGATTATCAGAACACTTGGCCTTTTCAGTAGAGGCAAGTGAAGCTCTGAGTCCCAGAAGGAGAGTTCATTTCCAGCACAGCACCCCCCAAAAATATTAAGTTGGTATTGCCTAGCAACATCTTGCCAGGACTTGTTTGCATTTCTAGGCTTCTGTGGATTTTATCCACATTATAAAGTATGCTCCAATCATCAGCTAAAAAATTACATTTTTTATTTAATGGAGGTAGAAGATACCATCCTGATCTATACAGAAAGCCCTGGAACACTTGGCTTCTAAGAAGTAACAAAAAAAAAAAAAAAAAGAAAGAAATCCTAAGACACAAGGTAACCTCATCGGCACTGGGAAGGTAAGTAGAAGTTTTAAGCTTTTTTGTAGTATTTTATTGGTCTGTACAGCTAGCAGGCCTACTAATAGCCAAAGAAATAATTATAGGGTAAGACAATTACCCTGAGAATTATAGCATCTCAGGGTAAAAAGAAACTTACCTCACTGTACAGAAAAAAACACTCATCAAAGATAAAATGACAGTCAGAATCAGTGATATTGTTTTACTCAAGATTTGGGAAATATGTAGGCACAATATTAAGTCTAAAGTTTATGTCAGATCAAAGGATCAAACAAAACATTATAACTATGATTTGGGAGAAAGGTTGATGTGGGTCATTTTTAGAAAATCTGTAATTAAATAGCTGCAAATAAAGATTTCTTGATATAATTCAGAACACTTGGTAGGGCTGAGCTGTTAAAAGATGTTCAAAGATTTACTGAATCAGAAAGAAGAAAATTAAGGGATCAGGGACAGGACAGAGTACAGGACAGAGAGAGACAGGAGTAAGAAACTGTCCTAGCCAAGAAGAGACAACCAGGCTTACTAGTAAAAATCAAAATTCGGTATGGAAAACAGAATCTAAAAAAAATACACAAACCCACAATGCCTTTTTGGAGTGATAAGATCATCTTTTCAAATGTACTCTTAATATATTTCTATTACCATTAAAATGTACTAAAATAGAGAGTAAGTAGCCAAAAAACAATGTCAATGATTCTGTTAGCTTCACAGCTGAAATTAAAATCCATGTAAAAGAGCAAAACACCAAGAACAAGTGAGTACAAATTATTATAAGTCAAACAAATAAGGCCATCCACTCATATATCAAGGCTTATTATTATAAAGTTATGCTAATAAAAGCAGTGTGGTATTTCATCAGAGTTAGACTAACAAACCAATATTAAAAAAATACAAAATGCAGAACTTATCTGTCCAACTGTGAAAAATTGAAATATGACAGAGGTAGCACTGCATTCCAGTCTGGGTGAAGGAATAAATTTATTCAATAAATATAATTAGGGCAATTCATTATTCAAGCAATTCATTATTCAAGCAGAAAAAAAATCCAGATTCCCATTTTATGTCACTTGGAAAAATTAATTCCAGGTAAATTAAAGTACTAAGTATGAAATACAAAACTTAAAAGTTTTCGAAGAAACTGTAGAATAATCTCTTTGTAACTGCAGGGCAAGAAAAGATTTATTCAATAAATGAACAAATATATAAAGAAAAAAATCCCATACTCTAAAAATATATACCCAATGACTGTAGCAAAATTTAATATTTTTATACATAAGAAATAGACTTCTGGAAGAATATAAAATATCTGTATTAGTAACCAAATACAAAATATTAAATTAACATTAAATATTAAAATTAACACAGACACTTTTAATTTATATATCAGAAAAAGAAAAAAACAACAAGGAAATGGATAACATAAATGAACAGACAATTCAAAGAAAAGAAAATCCAAATGACAAATAACACATGAAAATATACTTATCCTGATTGGTAATCAGGAAAATTCAAAAATAAGGTTTCCTTTCACACCCATCAGACTGGAAAGTGCAAAGTCTGTCAGTGGTAAGTGTTGGAAGCATTTGGAGCAATGACAGTTATTCCTTTCTGGGATACACCTACTTCACAGAGCAATTTGGCAACATTTGATAAAAATGAAGACGCACAGTCAATTCACTTCTGATATGCACTAATATTTTCAGTGCTACATTGTATTTAACAGCAGAAGAATAGGAAACAATCTAAATGTCCACCAACAAGAGAATCAATCAATGAATTGTGGTTTATTAACCCAATGTTAAAATGAAAGAACTAGAGCTACATGTGTCAGCATGGGTAGATCCCTAAAATATAACATTGAGTGAAAAGAGGTGGGAAGAAACACAAGGAAAGGAAAGACATTGGTCAGTTGGTTACAAAGTTATAGTTAGATAGGAGAAATAAGTTCTAGTATGCTATTGCATGGCAAGAGGACTATAGTTAATAATAATGCACATTTCAAAATAGCTACAAGAGAGGATTTTAAATGTTCTTAACTCAAGATATGATAAACATTTGAGGTACTAGGTATGTGAACTACCCTGATTTGATCTTTCCCTATTGTATCAAAATATCACATTATACCCTATAAATATATACAATTATTATTTGTCTAATAAAAATGTCTTTAAAAGAAAATTTGCAAACATAGATATGTATTATTTATATATACACATTTCCCATGAAATTTAAAAATAAAAACTAATCATTCTAGATAGTGACTATATTACATAAATGTGAAATGAATGCTTATAAAGCTGTTAAACATTAAATCCCTGACAGTAATTGACTCAAAGAAGAAAAAAGGGTAATAGGATTGGAGATAAATACAGAGCAGACTTCAACTCTATCTGTATCATTTTCTTTTCCTTAAAACATCTATAGCAATTATAGCAAAATGTTAACATTTGAAAGATATGAGTAGTGGATATAATTTATTCAATAAATACTCACTAGAATGTGCTGTGCACTGTTCCAGGCTAGGGATACAGCAATGACTAGGACATCAAAGTCTCCAAAAACACGAAGCTCACATTGTATTGGGAAGATAAACCACATAAAAATAAAAACAAACTTCTATGACAGAGAGTAAGTGCTGTGAAGAAAAAGAAAGCAAAAAAAGTTACTGAAAGGGGAGGATTCTTGAAAAATGGCAGAGTAGGGAGCACCAGAAATTTGTCTCCCCACCTAGACAACAATTATGCTGGCAAAATGTGTCTGGCTTAACCATAGCTGAGAGCTGTGCACATGTTCCTGGAGCAGCTTACACACAGCTTGCTGGAGCCAGGATGGACAAAAAAAGCCTTGTTCCCCAAATACTGGAAATCTGTGTTCAGATTACTGATAGCTACTTCTGATCATAGATGTGCAGACAAAGGGGCAGGTGACCATTGCTATTTCACCTCTCTTCATTGTGCAAGCCCTTCCCCCTCCAGCTGAGGTGACTTTCAACGAATTTAAAAGGCCAGTACCATTTTTTTCTCCTTCCTTTACTTTGCTTTTCTTTTTTTTTTTTTTTTTTTTTTTTTTTGATCCAGACTTTAAGACTATGACATTCAAAAACAACTTCATGAGAAAAGTGAGAAAATTACAACCCATGTCCAAGGAAAGGTACAAGCTTAGACCTGAGAAAACCTTAAGTTTAATATTCAGGATGATCCTTGGTAAAGAGACAACCTACCACGATGAAAAATAAATAAACAGTAACAGAAACAGCAAACCCTGGAAAAAGGAGTTTTCCAGAGTACCGAGTACCAGTTCAGCTGGGAGACCCTCACCCAGGCAGCACTGAAGGTAGTGAGAGGCAGACATCCACATAGAACAGTGAAGTGGATCTATCCGTGGGACCAGCACCCCACCAAGCTGAGAGCCTCAGGGGCTGACATAATTACAGGCTGAAGGCCCCAAGCAGATTCTCATCCATGTATTTAGTCTCTCTTAAACAGGTGAGTCTTATTAATAAACAGGTGTTCTGTATTTACTCATAACTCAAAAATATTCCAAGTAGGCAGCTGTTACCTGCTTACCACTAATTACAAACTTGTGGAGAATAAAAAGTATTCTCCACAAGGGAGCCATGGGGACAGGGCAAACTTAATGTTTCTCAACACCAGAGAATCTGATTTCCAGAGTTACTGCATTATTAGGTTCAAATGCCCAGTTGTATTATCTACAATAATAGTTGGAACTTCAATACTCTACTTTTAATATTGAATAAAACAACCAGTCAGAAGGAAATAGAGGACTTAGACAACACAAAAAACAACCAATCTATTGAATATATGTATAATATTATCTATAAATACACACTGTATTAGTCCATTCTCACATCGCTATAAAGAACTACCTGAGACTGGGTAGTTTATAAAGAAAAGAGGTTTAATTGGTTCATGGTTTCATAGGCTATACAGGAAGCATGGCTGGGGAATCCTAGGAAACTTACAATAATGGCAGAAGGCAAAGGGGAAGCAGACATGTCTTACATGGCTGAAGCAGGAGGAAGAGCGAAGGGGAAGGTGTACATACTTTTAAAAACAACTAGATCTCATAAGAACTCATTTACTATCATGAGAACAGCAAAGGGGACATTAACACCATGATCCAATCACATCCCACCAGGCCCCTCCTCCAACATTGGTGATTATAATTCAACACGAGATTTGGGCAGGGAAATAAATCCAAACCAATAGATCTAACAGACATATGCAAAATATTCTATGTAACAACAGCACATGCATCAAGTGTGCATAGGACATTTTTCAGAATACACCATATGTTAGGCCACAAATTAACTCTCATATTTAAAAAGATAGACATCATACAAAATATCTACTCTGACTACAACGAGAAGAAGTTAGAAATCAATAACAAAAGTAAAACTGAAAATTCATAAATTTGTGGAAATTAAACAACACACTCTTAACCAATAGGTCAAAGAAGAAATAACAAGGGAAATCAGAAAATATTTAATTAGAAAGAAAGTAAAAACACATCATACCAAAATTTACGGAATGCAGTGACAGCAGTGCTAAGGGAGAAATTTATAGCTATAAACACTTACATTAAAAAAACAAGAAACATCTCAAATCAACAATCTAACTTTACAAATTAAAGAACCAGAGGCAGGGCGTGGTGGCTCACACCTGTAATTCCAGCACTTTGGGAGGCCAAGGTGGGTGAATCACGAGGTCAGGAGCACGAGACCAAAATCTTAGAAACATAAAATGTATCAAGACTAAATCATGAATAAATGAAAAATCTGAATAGATCTAAAACTAGAAAGGAGACAATCAGTAATCAATCTCCAAAGTATAGCCCTGGACCTGATGGCTTTAGGGGTGTAGTCTAACAAACATTTAAAGAATTAAAACCAATTCTTTTCAAATATTTAATTTTTAAAAATTTTTTAAATTTTTTAATTTTAAAAATTTTCTTTAATTTTTAAAGAAAGATTTGAGAAGGATTTTTAATTTTAATCTCAAAATTAAAAAGAAAGGTACACTTCCTAATTCATTCTATGGGTCAGTATTACTCTGATGCCAAAAACCAGACAAAGACACTGTAAGAAAAGAAAACTACAGACCAATAATCCTTATTAACACTGATATAAAAATAATCAACAAAATATTAGCAAACCAAATTCAGCAGCATCATAAAAGTATTATCCAACAGCACTAAGTGGGATTTATTCCAGGAATACAAGAATGGTTCAACATACAAATATTGGTCAATGTAATACAACACATTAACAGAATGAAGAAAAAACAACATATTATCTTAGTTGATGCAGAAAAAGCATTTGACATTCAGTACCCTTTCATAATTAAAAAAAAAACACTGAACAAACTAGGAATAAATGGAAACTATGTCAACATAATAAAAATCATGTATGAAAAACCCACAGTGAATATCACGTTCAATGATGAAAGACTAACATCTTTTCCTCTAAGAAAACAAAGAGCCTAGGCTCAGTGGCTCATGCCTATAATCCTAGCACTTTGGGAGGCTGAGGCAGGCAGATCAGAAGAACAGGAGATGGAGACCAGCCTGGCCAACCGTAAAACCCTGTCTCTACTAAAAATACAAAAATTACCTGGAAATGGTAGCAGGTGCCTGTAATTTTAGCTACTCAGGTGGCTGAAGCAGAAGAATTGTTTGAACCTGGGAGATAGAGGTTGCAGTGAGCCAAGATCATGCCACTGCACTCCAGATTGGGTGACAAAGTGAGCCTCTGTCTCAAAAAAAAAAAAAAAAAAAGAAAGAAAGAAAATAAAGAAAGCATGCCTGCTTTCACCACATTTATTCAACATAGTAACATAGTAATGGAGTTCTGGCCAATTAGGTAAAGAGAGAGATCAAAATTGGAAAAAAGAAGTAAAATGATCTCTGTTCCCAGATGATACGATCTTATCTGTAGAAAATCTTAAAGATTCCACACAAAAACACTGCTAGAACTAATAAATGAATTTAACAAAGCAGCAGGAAACAAAATCAACAGGCAAAAATCAGTTGCATTTCTGCACACTAACAATGAACTAGTTAGTTCCTTTTGGAAAAAGAAATTACAAAAATAATTCTATTTAAAACTGCATCAAAAAGAATAAAATACGGATTAATCAAGGATGTAAAAAACTTATGTGACAAAAAATACAAAACATTGCTAAAATAAAGGAGACATAACAGAAACATCTCATATTCATGGATTAGAAGACTTAATGTCACAATACTATCCAAAGTGATCTACAGATCCAGTGCAATCCCTATTATCCAATTACATTTTTGGCAGAAATAGAAAAAGCCATCCAGGGACATATTTTCCTCCCTTAGCTGGAGCTGTCTCAGGTCTTGGGACTCCAGCAGGGGACTGACGGGAAGAGGCAGAGGGATTGCAGCCTCTGTGGTTGGCCAAGCCAGGCTCCAGGGCAAAAAGCAAATGCTGGACTAGGGTGGGGGCTGGGTGGGGGCATATCTGGTGCCACTGGTAGGAAGGACTCTACCTCTGACCTGGCCAAATATCCTCCAACCCCAAGAGAAATGGCTTTTCCTCCCAGGCCAGAGCTACAGGTGGACCAGAGACAAAGACTGAGAGTCCAGGACAGGTGGACACCGGGTCAGTCTGCCAGAGAAAGGTTTTCTTCATCATTGTCTTTTTGGCTCAGTCTGACTTTACACTGTGCGTGGTCAGCTTGTGGTTCCAAGAAGCATCTGAAGTGGGCAGCAGCCCCCAAAGCATTGGATCCTGAATGAATTAATGGGTGTGTCTGCTCCTTGTACATCCACTGGTCCATACAAGCTGAGTCTCTCCTCATTATTTTCATAAGAAACTGACTTTAGTATGCCCTGACAGGAGACCAAGAAAAGAAGATTGCATGCAGCAGTTCATGAAGATTAATGGCAACGTCTGAACTGATGTAACCTATCCTGCTGGTTTCATGAATGTCATCGGCATTGACAAGACCAGAGAGAATTTCCATCTAATCTGTGACACTAAGGGTCACTTTGCTGTTCATCCTATTACACCCCAGGAGACAAAGTACAAGGTGTACAAAGTGAGAAAAATCTTTGTGAGCACAAAAGGAATCCCTCATCTGGTGACATATGATGCTTTCACCATCTGCTACCCTGATTCCCTCATCAAAGTGAATGACCCCATTTAGATTGACATGGAGACTGGCAAGATTACTGATTTCATCAAGTTTGATGCTGGTAATGTATGTATGGTTCCTGGAAGTGCTAATCTGAGACAAACTGGTGTGAGCACCAAAAGAGAAAAGACATCTTGGATCTTTTGATGTGGTTCATGTGAAAGATGGCAACGGCAACAGCTTTATCACCAGGCTCTCCAACATTTTTTATATCGGCAAGGGTAGCCACTGCTGAAGACAGAGACAAGAGACTGGCAGCCAAATCAGTGGGTGAAATAATCTCTACGTTACATGTTAGAAAGGTCTTTGTAGTTAATTAAAGATAATACAGCATGAAAAAACCAAAAGAAAGAATACCCAGGACTTGGATGAGTCTGGAAACCATCATTCTCAGCAAACTGACACAAAAACAGAAAGCCAAACACCGCATGTTCTCACTCATAGGTGGGTGTTGAACAACAAGAACACGTGGACTCAGGGCAAGGAGCATCACACACTGGGGGCAGTTGGGAGTGGGTAGGGGAGAGACAGCGGGGGGTAGGGAAGGAGGGGAGGGTGAGGAGGGATAACATGGGGAGAAATGCCAGATATAGTATGCACCTAAAGTTAAATAAATAAATTTAAAAAAAAAAAAAGAAAACCCTATCCTAAAATTCATACGGAAGCTTAAGGGTCCTGAATAGCCAAAACAATATCTAAAAAAAAAAGCTGGGAGACTCATACTTCCTGATTTCAAGATTTACTACAAAGCTACAGTAATTATAACATGTGATGATGACATAGGATAGATGTATAGATCAATGGACTAGAATTACGAGTCCAAAAACAAACTTTCAT